AAATTTCTAAACAATAGCGATAAAGAATAATATGTTCTTTTTGCCTTTTCAAAAAATTAATGGTTCGAGGCGGTCGATGAGGAGATGAATGCCATCGTGGGACATTTAAAATAATTTTCACGAAATTATGTCGAATTTTAATTAATTTATGTTGAAGTCATTTTAAGGTTTCCTTATGTCAAACGTATTTTCTTTAAAATACGCTTCTTATGAATAACGTTTAATAGTAATTATTCTTATAAATATCTTATTTATTATGTTTAATTTAAATTTTAGTGGCACTCAAATCGTTAAGAATTTGTGTTGTCAAATGTAGGCCAAAGAGAGGGGAAGTAGAGGTAGGACCATGAAATGGCATGAAGAATTATCAGATCATAATAGTTTTCCAAAGAAAATTACTTTGGTTGGAATTAATTAACTGAAATAAAATGTCTCCGGGTACCCATAAGATTAAATAGAGATACAACAACATTGATGAAGGCACCAATCAGATATTTGTACTTAGGCTTAAACCAACGATGGGTTGTAATATGTCAAAAATAGAAAAAACCAAACAAGCTCGAGGCCCAAAGTAAAGTGGAAATGCTCACATGCTATCAACATCAATGAAGTCTTTTTTCACCAACAAAGCCGCAAGTTCGTAGAGCCCAATTGGTAAAGGAGTAGTGACTTCAATGCGCTGATGATATTGAAACTTGAATCCAAGAATTTGTGAAGCATGGGACTGCACAACATGAAAAGGAATCAACAATCAAAGATTCACTGCTCAATGAAGCTCTCAAAAGAGCACAAATAATCAAGATGGAATATTGATAATATTAATAGCAGACAGATATTTTGTTAAATATGTTACCCATAGTTATATTCTTCTACGAAAAAAATTAAAAGCAAAAACTCTATACAGCATCAATACCTTGGGAAACATTGGATAATAATTCTAATAGCAGACATACTTTTTGTTAAATATGTTACCCATATTTATATTCTTTTAGGAAAAAAATTAAAAAGAAAAAACTCTATACAGCATCAATACCTTGGGAAACATTGGAATCAGGTCCAAGAACACATTGTTGTCAGGCTGAAGTTCAAAACATTCCAAAACCTAACACATAAAATGCTAATGAGAAACCAGGAGTGCATCCAGACAATATACAATTTGGCAATGTTACAACCAACATAAAACACACAAACAAAGAACAATAATAAGCAAAAAGACAATGTATAACTTACAATATCGAAAACTCGATTTGGGTCCAGATCGAAGTGGCCAATCAACGACTGGAAACAATTCATTAATTAGACAATTATGGAAAAGATAAAAATGCATTAAGATAACTCCCTGCTCAGTGCAAACCTTAATAATACCAACTGTAGCAGCCGATGCACTTTTACTAGATGCTTCAGGAACCTGACAGAGTAGGGTAACCTACAAAATATGAAAACATTACAGTTAAGCACAAAATGAGAAAATATCAAAAGGTTGCACAACATAAACTAGGATATACAGCATGAAGATGAAAAAGCTTTCTTTGACTACATATTGCTAATTGAAGCAACTCCATCATAATATAGAAACTAAGAACGGACATAAATTAATTATATTATGTGATATGGAGACCCAAATATTAATTAATGACCGGGAAATTAAGATATTAATTAATGACTTGGAAATTAAGTATAATTGTATTGTTGTTGACAGATATTGTTGAAGTGACTGATTGATACTATAGAGAATTTGAACTGCTATGGTCAGGATTCTCAAATTTAGGATATTGATGAAACCTATAGGGAATGACGACGAATATATACAAATTTAACTGATGCATATGATGTTCATATGTCCCCGCGATGTTATGGATTCAATGTTGATAATGAAATCAAAATTGGGATATTTAACTTGTACAAGTCGAACACACTACTTAGAAAATTTGAGGCACCATGTGCTGCCATAACAGGAAGACCTGATTTCTTTTTCAATTGGATAAAGGCCAATTAGGTAGACACAGAGTGTGTACGTATGGATATTCATCAGTAGGTGAAAATAGTTAAGAGAGATGCTAACAGTTACCTATAAGCAAAATCATGAGGAAGAACAAGGACACCATCTCGGACACTAAAAACATAGGCTGACCGAAACAATAAAGAGAATAGATGAAATGTCATTTTATCAAGGAAATGGAAGAATAGAGACCTCAACAAACCAAAGCAGGTAAAAGCCAAAGAGCAAGGAAGATTTTGATTTGGATAGAACCAGAATACAATTTGGCATATCATGGCATTCAATTTTGATGATAGTACGATACAGTGCATATTTCTTCAAATCTGCCAAAATGCTGCTGACCAAAAAAAACCTCTCGAAACAGCATAACATTCTCCAATTGTTAAGACCAAAAAGATTAAGGAAATAGAACTACTGAAGTGCATAATAGCCAAATTACTTCACAACCCCACAGGGCAATTAGAACTCAGTATGAAAATGCTCAAACTACTCACAATATGAACCTCGATAAAAGAACCAAACAATTGGCAAATTGACAGAATAAAAAGGATATCAAAAAGAAAAGCAAATACAGAGAAAAGCAAAAGAAATACCAGCTTAGCATAGCCTTCACTTTCTTCTCGGAGCAAGTTAAATTTTGTTTGCTGATAAAGAAGACGAGTATTTACTCTGACCTGAAATAATTGCAGAGAAATTTAGGTAAAAGTAAATGGAAATGCAGTTTCCACCATAAACAAGAAAACGCATGTAAAATTTGGAAAAATTATCAAGTTAAGTGACTTCATGGCCTGAATAGTGCTAGTGTCACAATAAAATTCCTGGGCAGAAGTACCTCTTTAGACTTCAGATCTGCAGCCTTTATCTGAGTCATTTCAGACTCCCATAAAAATTCTTCCTACCATTCACAAGTGAAAAGGGAAAAAATATAAGCCATTCTTCTCTAGTCATAAATTTTTACCTCAATAGAAAAACATAAATTAAACAAGGGTATAAAATTCACCTCACAACGCTCCTGGAAAAATCTCACTGGTACTAGTGCAGATTCCACCAGCCATTTTGCCTAGAAAGAATAAACATAAAATAGAAGGTCCATAAATGAGATCTAAAAAGAAACGAGAAAATTGTACGGGTCCAAATGATAGCAATTAGCGAGTACTGTTAAATCAGATTCAATACCATCACACCCTTTTCATTTAGCAATTTTCTTCTATTCTTGGTTTCTTCTGACTCTTGAAATTAATAGAGAACAAATGGTCAAACAATGTGAATCTAATGGAAACAGAAGTCTGAAGCCTACATAATCATATAATTGTATTCTTAGACAACCAACCAGAGTGCATATGAACATCTAAGACCAAAAGGACAAACTAGTCTATAAGGCTTATTCCTTTTGTATCACATGGGAAAAAGGGTGCAATTATATTTGTCAAAAGTTATTTGTTCCATCTCTTTCTTCAATTTAAATGGTATTCAACCTTCTTCATTTGAAAATTAACAAATGTCAGGGAGTTCATCTTGAACCAAAATAAGATAAAGAACTAATGTATACAATGTACTTGAAGAGGAAATGGACAAAGAACTAAAATTAGTATTTTAAGCACAAGTGTAGTTGGTCCACCATTCCAATCCATAATTTCCTAACCTATCAGTCGAGCTTTGACACTAAAATAATCATTGATTCTCTAGCAATGTAAGTTGAGACTTGAGAATACAAGAGCAACGAAACACTATAGAAAACAGCACTGACAACACAGAAGATTTGGTGTTTGGTTTAATAAAAGCAAAGCATTTATCAGAAAAATCAGGTTTTAAGAATGACACTAACAACAGACATATAAATATCAGAATTAGATAAGAATAAGTTCAACACTGATGCTGACCAGTTTGATAAGACGAGAGCGATAGTCACCAAGCATAGTAAGCTGCAAGATATGAAAATAAACAATTATTAGCATTCATCAAGGACTTGTACATTATGTGAAATTCAATGTTTACCTGTACTCAAGCAATCAAACTTATTCCTACTAAACCAAATATATTAGAAGCACCCATTTAGGGGCACACTAAACATGATACTCAATTACAATGTATTGAAAACTGAAGTCCACAACTATTTGCAAGCTAATTTAAATAAAGACAGTGATTTATGTAATTCAAGCGGCTTGGGCGACGGATTAAGTCATGAACTTGATTAGCTGATTCGCAATTGTGGAGTTGGATTATGAAGATTGCTTTTTCATCTAGAATCAATTATTTATGGCTGGAAAGTGATGACAGGAGGGAGAATAAAGAGATTTAGCAAAACTTATACTTGACACTTGACAGTACAAAAATCAGAGGAGCTGGCTAATGGGAAGTCCCAAGACTAAGAATGGGAAGTGTCAATTGTGCTGAACTTTTGACCCTTAAGGTCGTTTTGCTATATTCTATGGCTATGTGATTTGATTTATGGAAAAGCTGTTATGAACTAGTGATGGAATAGATATAATTTGACACTGAGGAGATCAAGTGCTAATACATCTTTTTTGTATCAATGAAATTGATTTGGATTATAAAAAAGGTATCATTGGACAACAGTTGTAACAGTAGCCTATGTTTTGATTCAACGTCTGATATTAATATTCAAAAACAATAATATCTAAATCTTTGCATGCACTCCTCCCTTCACCTAAATTTTAATTAGAAAAGTAAAGTGCATGACTATGCAGACAGTAATTCAACAAATACCGAAATTCTAATAATTTTTTTATGATAGTCTAATACAGATTTAAATGGAAGCCCCTATCATATTTATTACAATACCCATGTGAATATTATACAGTGCAATAAATGCATACAAAACTCACGTCTTGAGCCATTTGGGTAACAACATCAGCAAAATACGATCCAACATCTCCATCCGGACCACAGTCTGAGAACTCCACTGCCTCCAACGCCACTTTACACTTCTGAAATGGCAAGTCTCCTCGGACCTACCACCCAAAAGAACCTCCCAAATTACTAGATGACCCAAAATACTAGAAATTTCCAAAAATAAATGGATAAATGGAAATATTAGCCTAATGACTAATGCTAAATTAGTCTAAATACATAACACAAATTTCAGAACTAGAAAATAATCATCGACTAATAAAAAATGATACCCATATAAAAACATATACAAAAGTATATATTAAATAATTCCAAAAACCAAATTACCAGATTAGCCAAAACAATACAGAAGTGCAAAAACAAAAGGCAAAAATAAATAATTGGAAAGATAAATAGCTGTATGCTAAAATTGTCTAAAAATATTAAAACATATAATACAATTAAAACCCAGAAAGATAAGCGCCGACTAACAATAAACGATACCCTTGCAAGAAAAAATACAAATTAATCAGTACCACTGTCCAGCTGAGTTCATATAGAAAGCGAAGAACCGGGGCAGGTGACGGAAACTTGAAATTCGAGTTTGCATTTTTCAATTCTTTGATGGAGTCTTCAGTTAAGTATATACACTCTACGGGAGGCAGTGACATATTTACTTCGATAGTTTTCCTAATAAACCAAAAGGGGTCTCTGGGTTAGAAGTGAATTCGGAAGGAAGAACGATGAGATAGAGGTTAAAATGTAATTTCTGGGTTTTTCATGGGTCAATTGGCTGTCGAGGGTTTCAGCTCAATTTCGGATGTGCGAAGGAGTTTGGGGAAGGAGAAAGCTTTGTGTAGTGTTTTTCAGCCTTTTTCTCATGGGCTTCGTGGGAGTTTTTTACTGGTAAGTATACATAAATCCTACTTTTACTTAAACACATTTTAAAATTAAAGTTTGATGTTTTAAAT